AGTGTGGAGCGTGGAGTGTAAAGTGTGGAGTGTGGAGTGTAAAGTGTAAAGTGGAAAGTGTGGAGTGTAGAGTGTAGAGTGTAAAGTGTAGAGTGTGGAGTGTAAAGGGTGGAGTGTGGAGTGTGAAGCGTGCAGTGAGCAGTGAGGAGTGTAAAGTGCAACGTGTAAAGTATGGAGTGTCAAGTGAAGAGTGTAGAGTGTAGAGTGTAACGTGTAGTGTGTAAAGTGTAGAGTGTGGAGTGTGGAGTGTAAAGTGTGGAGTGTAAAGTGTAAAGTGCAAAGTGTGGAGTGTAGAGTGTACAGTGTAAAGTGTAGAGTGGAAAGTGTAGAGTGTGGAGTGTAAAGTGTGGAGTGTGGAGTGTAAAGTGTGCAGTGAGGAGTGTAAAGTGTAAAGTGTAAAGTGTAAAGTATGGAGTGGAGAGTGAAGAGTGTAGAGTGTAATGTGTTGTGAAAAGTGTAGAGTGTGGAGTGTGGAGTGTAAAGTGTAGAGTGTGGAGTGTGGAGTGTGGAGTTTAAAGTCTAAAGTGGAAAGTGTGGAGTGTAGAGTGTAAAGTGTAGAGTGTGGAGTGTAAAGCGTGGAGTGTGGAGTGTAAAGTGTGGGGTGTGGAGTGTGTAAAGTGTTCAGTTCCTTTTATCTGTGAGGAGTGTAAAGTGTAACGTGTAAAGTATGGAGTGTCGAGTGAAGAGTGTAGAGTGTAACGTGTAGTGTGTAAATTGTAGAGTGTGGAGTGTGGAGTGTAAAATGTGGAGTGCAAAGTGTAAAGTGCAAAGTTTGGAGTGTAGAGTGTAGAGTGTAAAGTGTAGAGTGGAAAGTCTAGAGTGTGGAGTGTAAAGTGTGGAGTGTGGAGTGTAAAGTGTGCAGTGAGGAGTGCAAAGTGTAAAGTGTAAAGTATGGAGTGTAGAGTGAAGAGTGCCGAGTGTAAAGTGTAGTGTGTCAAGTGTAGAGTGTGGAGTGTGGAGTGGAAAGTGTAGAGTGTAAAGTGTAGTGTGTAAAGTGTAGAGTGTGGAGTGTGGAGTGTAAAGCGTAAAGTGTAAAGTGTAGACTGTGTAAAGTGTAGGGTGTGGAGTGTTTAAAGTGTGGAGTGAGGAGTGTTGAGTGTAAAGTGTAGAGTGTATATAAAGTGTATAGTGTAAAGTGTAGACTGCGGAGTGTGGAGCAAGGAGTGTGAAGTGTAGAGTGTAAAGTGTAGAGTGATGTGTGTATGTCTGTCTGTGTCTGTGTCTCTCTCTGTATTGGAGGGAGGTGACAGTTGGCTATGCGAGGTTACGGGGAAGCATGGGAGCAGCTTTCTGCCATTTAGCGGCCCTGGAGTGTGGAGTGTAAAGTGTGGAGTGTGGAATGTAAAGTGTAAAGTGCAAAGTGTGGAGTGTGGAGTGTAAAGTGTAGAGTATAAAGTGTCGAGTATGGCGTGTGGAGTGACGGCTGTACAGTGTAAAGTGTAAGGTGTGGAGTGTAGAGTGTAGAGTGTCAAGTGTAGAGTTTAAAGTGTAGCGTGTGGAGTGTGGAGTGTGGAGTGAGGAGTGTACAGTGTAAAGTGTAAAGTGTGGAGTGTGGAATGTAAAGTGTAGAGTGTAAAGTGTAGTGTGCAAAGTGTAGAGTGTGGAGTGTGGAGTGTAAAGTGTAAAGAGTAGAGTGTAAAGTGTAGAGTGTGGAGTGTAAAGTGTGGAGTGTGGAGTGTAGAGTGTAACGTGTAGAGTGTAAAGTGTAGAATGTAAAGTGTAGACTGTTGAGTGTGGAGCGTGGAGTGTAAAGTGTAGAGTGTAAAGTGTAGAGTGTAATGTGTAGATTTTAAAGTGTAGAGTGCTGTGTGTATGTCTGTCTGTGTCTGTGCCTGTCTCTGTATGGGAGGGAGGTGACAGTTGGCTACGCAAGGTTACGGGGAGGCATGGGAGCAACTTTCTGCCATTTAGCGGCCCTTCGGTCGGCTATTGAATTTCTTTTCTGGGATCATTGGGCAACGGCCGTTTTCGGCCAAATCCTAGCCGGGAGGTCACGGGAGCAAATTTCTGCCATTTGGCGGCCCCTCAGCCGCCTATTGAATTTCTCTTCTGGGATCATTGGGAAACGGCCTTTTGGGGCCAAATCCTGGCTGGGAGGTCACGGGAGGTCACGGGAGGTCATGGGAGGTTACAACATGGAGGAAAATGGAGGAAAATGGAGGAACTCCGAGGCTCAACGGAGAGCAGCGTCCGTTGGGGTTCGGAACAAGATAGTTTGCAAGGGGATGAGAAGTGATACAGGGGGGGCGAAGGGTTGCAAAGCAAGCAGAAGTCTTCCAAAGGCGCTGCGGATGGTTTGGGCTTCTAGTCTAGTTCATACGGGATTGTAAGAGGACGTTTGGGCTTTTTGTATATGACGATTGAGTTTGAAGTTTGAAACATGATGATTAACCAGTGGGTTGAGGATGCTTACAATAGGGATCAACAGAGTTTTCCATTTAAACAACTACCACGACACTTCTCTGCGGAAACAAAAAGATTCGGGCTCGTGGCTGGCTTTCGTCCCCCATTCTCAGGTATACGGTATATATGTATAATATACATCCATGGCATTCCAGTACATCACCATACCTTACATCATGTTACATATTATGTTACACGTTACGTTACATGACATTGCACCACCACCACCACCACCACCACTACCACGACCACGGGGTTGAGTCTTGGAGGCGACAAAGGTGCAGAAAGTGCCGGCAGCACCGGCAGCGCCGCCCGCGCCCTTGGCCACTTCCAGAGGCATCGTCCGGGAACGCAAATGGAGCCGCAAATTCGGTCGTTTTTTGCCGGAAACCGGAAACCATTTGTTTTTTTCTTTAGAGTCCAAACATTTTGACCCTAACATATTCTTGCGACGCTGGAATCTGAATTGGCATCCTGTATTTACACAGGAACTTCGAAGGATCGGGCATATATTCATTTCATTGTATAAATCATAATCCACTCATAGGTCCACATATGATTTATCTGTATAATATGTATACATACAGATCCTGAATCCATCATCCAGATATGAAATCTCACAAACCTCCCATGACACTTATGATTCAGGGGCCAATGGAGCGCTTGCTGAAGTGGTCGACTCAGGGCAGCAGTCACAGGAGCCCGTGATTCCCTGGTGCCTTTTTCTATATCTTTGCGCAGTTGACTTTGGAATTCTTGAACTGAAACTGCTCATTTTTACTGACCACTTTTCCGTACTTTTCGTAGTAGTTTAGTAGTTGCTACTTTCTTTCATTTCTTCATCTCCACGGCGTGAACTTTTTGATCCGTGGCAGCTGCTGCACCACGTTTCCCTCGCAGGAACAAAGTTCCCAACCCAGCCAGCCGCCACCACTTCCGCCGCCCGAGTCTCCACCAGAAGCAGGCCACAACCAGTCGATGTGTCGTTCCCAAGGCTTGGTTTTTTTTGACCCATTCTGTACCCATTCTGTACCATATCCAATGGACTGCCACATAAAGAAAACATATTGTGGCCATTTGTGGGCATAGAATTTTCTTCCACTGATGCACAGTTGCAGGGTACAACATGCTGGGAGAAAATGTGTGTGTACTGCGTAGGTGCTGGACCCGCAGCCCCGCCACAGCGGCTTTGGAGTGTTGCCGTGACTCGCTCCAACTGGCCCAAACTTGGTTTTGGATGTGGCTTTCCCATGCTTTCCCCCAAGGTTCAACCCCAAAGGTAGTGCAACTTCTAGAGATTCTTAGTTTGGAAGAGTTCAATCTGGTTTCTAGTTTGGAATCTTCCAAGACTTGTCACTTAGATTCTTAGATGGTTGCGGCGCGTGGTGTCATGTTGCCACGGCCAAGGTGTTGTGCGGTACTGCCATGGAGGGGGACAGTCGCTTGGAGAAACTTGGTACTTTGGCGTCGAAGTCGTTCCTGCGCTGCAGTTTTTTCCGTTGCTGAGGTCTGGGCCTCCTGTTGGAGGGTAGCCCAAAGCGAAGAAAGGTTTCGGCACATTAGGATGTAGATATTTGTTGCAGATGTTGCAGTTGTGATGCACTTGGTGATGAGTTGTTGCTGACGCGCAAAGCATTCAATTCCTGTGAGTCACACAGTATGGTAATCCATTCGGGCTATCGCTCCTCCAAATTCTGTGGTATTGGAATTTCCGTCGAGGTTTTCTGCAGTAATTGCAATTGACCAAAAGCAGACTGGGAAGTTTGTTGCTTTTACTTTTCTAGTCCTTGCAACAACACCTCATCCGAAGTCCTACACCTTCTGGCATGGCCACATCATTGCGGGGACGCGAGGGAGTTTTCTTTGATGGACTCGCTAGAAATCCAAAAATCCAGGCGCAATCCCAGCATACGATGAGATGAAATGCATTCAAATGTGGGGAAAGGAGAGAGGAAATCAGAAGGTATTTTGAGCGGTAGGCTGTGTAAGCCTGTGGAAAGGAAAGATGCACTCAACGGACTTCCGTTATTTGTGAAGATCCAAGAGGAAACTCCTTAAGGAGCCATTGAGGCTCTCTGTACAGAGGGGACCATTTGCAAAGCTGCTTGTGACACTGCTTGTGGCTTCTGAGCGATATCTTGCTCAGGTTCTGTTGTGCGAAAACAAAGGGCTACATATGCGGTTGATTTTACAGCTTGGTTGATTTTACACAATTCAATGCCCACGAAATGCGACCAAGATGGACGATGCACTCGTCTGTTTGTTGCCATTCTTGTAGCTTTCAACCTGTTCGACCCATTATCAGCCCCAGCTAAAAGTGGGTGGGTGGCGGATATCAATGTCACAAAGAGGCAACGCTTTTTTCCTTCGCCACGGAGCTCCGAGACGCGGTAGATTTAGGCAGGCATTGAAGCGCAGCACTGCTTGTGGGTGTCCGATTTGGGCTCAATGGGGGTTCACAGGTCGCGAAAGCAGTTGCGAAAGCATTTCGAATTTCCACAACAGACATTCATTGAAATCTCAAAATGTCTCCCTTGCAATTTTGTATCAGCCGAGTCGATGATTTTGTTTGGCACTGCTCAGTATCATTCCCATCCTCAGCCAGCTCGCAGCGGCTCTGTGTGATGTCCGCTGATGGGAAGCCCGATGGGACGGACTTGTTCAAGAGCGAAGGATTTTGGAGAATTGCAGGGACTGCAGTGTTCTTGCGACATGTTCTCCTCTTGCAACCTGAAGGTCCTTTTGAATTCAAGGTTGAGGACCTTTGTTTCTGGCTTGCTCAACTTCTGAGAAGTGCAGAGAATGAGATTGCGGAAGAACTGGATGCTCATCAAGTGTTGCTTTCATCCCAGCCAGCTGATGATGTGGCCACTTGGCTTCTTTGCCAAAGCACGACATATTATATAATTGAATCTTAGTTGTTGTAGGCCTTGTTTTGGCTTTATGCTTCACATGGCTTCACATGCAAGGCAGAAGGAGTGCAAGCGTCCTACTCCTTGCGGTGGAGATCGGGCCAAAGTTTAACTGCGGAGGAGGTTCAGACAGTGCTGCAGCACATTTGCAGTCCACTGAATACACTTAGGATCACTTGGTTGACGAGTCTGAAGGAGGTGACCCTTGGCACTTGGGAGTCCCCTGCGTCTCCCCTTCTCCTTCCTGGGCTGGAGTGATGTTTATTGAGACATCATGATCAGCATCATCAGATCACATTTTTCGTATAGATGATCTATGTTGCCTCTTTCGCCCCTTTGTTTCAAATCTCTCTCTCTCTCTCTTGTTCTATCTCTTTCCCCCTTTATACTTTATACCCATTCTCTGTCTAATCTCTGTCAATGCATCCAACTCAAAAAGCATTGATCTTCGGCCACCGGTTTGATTTGCCTACCCATCTTCGGCTACCGTTTTGTGGCATTTTCCTACCCATGTTCTTGCCTCTTCAAAAGCATCTATTTTCTTTCTGGAGGTATGCTGCGTTTTTCTCTCACAGGACGCTCGACACTAGCAGATGAATAACACATTGTTCCAATGCAAAATGGCTATTCACACCCTTTCACACCTACAAACTTTCCGGCATCCAACTGCATATCGCAGCTGGCTTTTGTAACTTCCCCCCTGGCCACAAGTTGTTTATTATTTTTTATTCAAGTCGAACTCCTATCAGCCCATGATCATCAGAATGAGAGCTTTGCCAACGTTTCCATACGGATATGGGCAATGGTCAAAACATGGTTTTATTCCCTCAAAGGGGAAGGTTATCCCTCGCGAAGGGGATTGATATACTCATTAGAAGGATTTCCAATCATGGCTACCAAGTATACCATGTTGTGACCATGGCACTCATGGCACATATCAAATATTATCAATTCATATCAACCCATTGTTTTTTAGGGCCTCCAAGCAAAGCCGAGGATTCTGGATGCATCCATGGTGCTTGAAGAGCTCATGAAAGACTACCTGGACGTCTCTGCCTTGCGAAAGGTTCAGGTGCAATATGCTGCGATGTTTAACGAAGAGTGGTCCACACCCTATGAGGTTTGTTGGCAGGCCAATGGAGCGGACTCGCGGAGAGAATATGGGGTCCGGTGTGATCAACCATCGCGGGGAAATTCTCGAAGTAAATGGAGGTTTTCATGAGAACATTCTCTATCAACAGTGATTTTTCCATTGCCATGTTTGATTTACCAGCGGGTACTTGTCAAGACTTTCCACATTTTTCGGTAGCCGCGTTTCTTTTGGCAAGAGAAGGCGCCATTGAAAGTTGGTGAATGGCAGACAGGGTACCAGTTAGCACCAAGGACAACAGCATTATCATGCCGGATGTGCCCAACTTCACTGAGCGCCACTTCCAGCATTTTCAAAGATCTGCTGGCCATACATCAACTGGGGAGACCTTGCTGTATGAGGCTACAAACTGCCAAAACTAGCCAGTGGGAGCAGGCACTAGAATATGCAGACAAAGAGCATTCGTTTTACAGTTATATATGTGGTTTAATATGCTAAACTGCTAAACCTGACAAAAGGCAGTTCTGAAGCAGAACAAAGCTTGTGTTATGTTCAATAGGCACCTTTCCATAGGACGAGACACGAATACTGTCATCAGGTTTTTGTAACACTACTTCACCACATACTGCTGCCAGGCCCTGGCCTTGTACCTGATTCCATGCCATGAGCTTTTGCATATCGTGCAACACCTGTATCTTGACCAATGTTCATTCATATACTCTTCATTGCCCCGGTTTTTTTTTTTGCACCTGCAGCTGCTTAAATCCCAACTTAAAGAGCCAAAAAGGGGCCAAAACAAGTTGGATCTCAGCTGTTAGCTGAGACATGCTGAGACATCACATCAGGCATGGACATTTGTTGGATTCTGACTCCCACAGCTATGCCATGGAACATGATGCCTCTCGATTGAACTACCTGCTGCTCTGGCACGTTCTGGAACGACGAAGCCCTGAACCGCAGTGGTCCAAGTGGGTGCCTATACTGAAACTGTGGAGGTTGAGCAGATATCATCTGTTGATATTGTTTGGTTCATGTAAATTTAAAGGTTTTCAATTGAACTTTCAACTGAACTTTCAACTGAACTTTCAACTGAACTTTCAACTGAACTTTCAACTGAACTTTCATTGGATGCATTTCCAAGATGATGAGGTGTTAATGCTGGAGGGAATCAACCGAAGTTTGTCCGCTTTCCAACGTATCAAAGCGCAAGATGCAGCTTACTATGCAGCCTATCGGCAATGGGCAGATACCTTTGGGTTGGATGCACCAAGTCACTCGGATGTCTGCAGTGTGAAGCTCCAAACAAAGACGTGCGGGAGGCGGGAGGCAATGTTTGCTCCGGTGGTGATTTGAGATGGGATTGATTTCCTAATTTCTTTCGGAAGCTTTCAGACCCCAAGGCCGGGTCTCCTGACAATTTTGATTCACTCGAGCAAAATGCAATCATATAGCGTAGAATTCACAAGACACTTCTACGATGTTTTTATACGGAAAGAGTGAAACAGCTGAGCGCACATACACACACACATCACTAAGGCAAAATCTTTGCATCTTCTGGAGATGAGATGTCCTTATCACTAGAGGCTTTTCTGCAGCCAAAGATTCGAATTGAAGATGTTTCGTGCAAATACGACGTTTGATGTTCTTTACTTTTTGGGATCATGATGACAACAAACATGCAAACAATGAAGGAACTCCCTTTATTAACAACCTGATTTTTTTTGCGGCCTCTGTGCCTTGGGAGACAGGTGACTCCCCGTGGACTGAGCCGACAGATCTGCCGGACCAGTCCTGAATGATCCTAAATGCACGTTCAGTTCAGTCATGGTGATCCCCATTATCCCCATTCCACATTTATTGATTTATGCATACATATATATATATATATGAATATATATATATGTTTGACACACATATATATATATACAAATACTCACACACACATATATATATACACACATCTATGTATTTAGCACGTCATCATTTTCGCGTTGGTTTAAAACATACAGTTGTTCACAATGATCATCAGAATGTGTACTTCACATTGTTCTGTCAGGAAGGCATGGTGAAGATGATCGTCGCCGGCGAAGCCCTGGTGGCGAACTACGAATCGCAGGGGCCGCATCTGGAGCCACTTCTGCGGGTGGCTTTTGATCCAGCGAGACAAGGGGATACTCGACCTGACCTGACTTGATGGCCCAAAACCATGGGGTGAAATGGCTAGTCTTGGATGATTTGAAGGAACCCTCAATCTTAGGACACCTCCATATGTGCTTGTCATGATCTGTCTGAAAGGGAAAGCCACCAAAATACACTGGTCATCATTCATCATTACTTTTTTTTTTTCTATTGAACAGATTTTCTTGGGGTAGACTCCAGACACACCCGTATTGAAACTGGTTTGACCTGCCTGGCCTGACATGTTTGATCTGCATTTTTCCATTGACCAACACGGCAGCCACATGCTGGCACAACATTTGCAATGGAAAAAGCCTTGCCGAAATTTGGCCGACATCTATCTAAGGATGTATACTCTTGCGAGCTCCCTGACTGGAATTAATTTTCATGGTATTGATCCTGGGAATAATACATATATATATATATAATAATCATTTGTAGACAGGGGGAGGATCTATTGATCTATTCCAATTTTATCAGATATATAAAATCATCAATTCGCGGAATATATCATTTCTTATATTCATGTATTTGAATTGTTCTAATCAAGATTAACCAACCTAAAAATTATCATTACTAATATTTGAATTTACCCGCGCTCGCACCTAAAATATTGATTCCTTTTACATTCTCCCAGGAATCGGGAACGGACATTATCTTCTGTGGGACAAAATTTACAACTAAAAGAATTCCACCTATTGTTTGAACAAAATCAAAGACATATATAATAAAGAAATCCTTGAATATAATAACAACATGTAGAAACCAAAATTTAAAAATATACATTACTAAATCAATTTAACATTATTTATTAATACGAATTTTAAATATATATATATGTTTATAAATTTATATATTTTTATTTATTCTATAACTTTAATATATAATTTAAATTAAATCTATTTTTTTTGCACGAATTAAATGGCAGTCGATTTAAAGGTCCTTGTAATCACGATCTGGCTGTACACAGAATGCGCGCGCGCAATTTCCCGAGCCCAAATTTCCCAAAAATTCTGCCACCAATTTTGGGACTTTCACGAAGACATCTTCAGTCTGTGCGAATATAAACTCAGTCTGTACTTCCTGAGCCCCCTGAATTCACGACTTTCTTGGGAACTTTCGTTTTGCGTTTCCCAAAAAAGTGATAGTTTTTTGGAAAAAATCATCTTCTCCCCAGTCAGTGTACCACTGGGCAAATCCACGGACGGTCGGGGGTTCGATTCCCCTAGGTCCGTCCCGACCCCCTGCGAGCTATTGCCCTTGCTTGCCTAGCTTCTGCGCTATTGACTCTGTGCTCTTTCTAACACGCACCTCTGCGAGACTGCCCGCTTGCTGCACCCGCCTTCTACCGCACATATTGTGCTTGCTTCCTTAGCCGTAGCCTGTGCGCGCTATTTTGGGGACCTTCTTTGGGACGTGGCTTTCGGTAGCAACTTTGGAGAGCAGCTTTGGGGATCAATTGTGGGGAACAACTTTGCGGCATTGCAGCAGCATTGACGAACAATTGCTTTGAAGAACGACAGCTTTGTGGAGTAGCTTTAGACATGGGAAGCTGCTTTCGGCAACAACTTTAGGGGGAAGATTTAGCAGCTTTGGGGAGCAGCTATTCGGAGCTGCTCTCGAGAACAACTTTGGCGAGCGGATTTGGGGAACAACTTTGTGGAGCAGCTTTGGGGAGCAGCTTTGGGAAACAGGAGCAGCTTCGAACGCAAGCTTTGAAAAACCGCAGCTTTGGAGCAGCTTTGGGAACTAGCTTTAGAATGCAATTTTGGGGGGGGGGCTTTCGGTACAGATTTGAGATTTGAAATATAACCGCTTTAGCCGCTTTAGCAGCTGCGGGGAACCGCTTCGGGGAGCAGCTTTGGGGAGTAGCTTTGCGGAGCAGGTTTGGGGAGCTGCTTAGGGGAGTAGGAACAGCTTTTTAAGGACAACTTTGCACGGTAACCCGAACCACAATTTTGGAAAATAACTTTGGGGGAATAGGGAGAATACCTTTAAAATATAATTTTGGGGA